GACAGGCGGATGGCGCGCAGCTCCTGCTTCTCCTCGGCGTCGATGCGGTGCACGCCCGAGGCGCGCAGCAGCGCCCGGCGCCGCTTGGTGGGCAGCGGCTGCAGGAAGAAGTAATCGTCCACCTCCACGTTCTCCACGTCGATGTCATCGTCCGAAACGTCCTCCAGGCGCAGCCCCTCCGCCTCCTCCGACTCCACCGTCCCGTTCTTGGTCAGCTGCGGGGCAAGGGGGCAGGGTCAGCGCCCACTGAGGGGGGGACATTGAACCCCAGTGGCCCTCAGTGGCCCCTGATGGCCCCCAATGTCTCCCAATGGCCCCCAGTGGCCTCAATTTTCCCTCAACGGCCACCGATGGCTCCCAGTGTCCCTCAGTGTCCCCTAATGGCCCCCAATGCCTCTCAATGTCCCCAGTGGCACCAAATGGCCCTCAATGACTCTCAGTGTACCCCAGTGCCCTTCAACGGCCCCAATGTCTCTCAATGCCCCTCAATGTCCACCAATGGCCTCAATTTTTCCTCAATGGCCCCCGATGCTCCTCAATGGCCCCCAGTGGCCACCGATGGCTCTCAATGTCCCCCAATGGCACCAAATGGCCCCCAGTGGCCTCAATTCTTCCTCAATGTCCCCCAATGTCCTGCAGTAGCTCTCAATAGCCCCCAATGTCCCTCAATGGCCCCTAGTGGCCCCAAACTTCCCTCAATGGCTTCCAATGGCACCCAATGTCTCTCAATGCCCCCCAGTATCCCCTAGTGGCCCTCAGTGACCTCAATCTTCCCCCAATGGCCCCCAATGGCTCTCAGTGCACTCCAATGCCCCTCAACATCCACCAGTGGCCCTCAGTGTTCCTCAGTGGCTCTCAATGGCCCCAAATGTTCCCCAGTGGCCACCAATGGCCTCCAGTGGCCCCAGATTTTCCTCCATGTCCCTCAATGTCCCCCAATGTTCCCTAATGGCCCCAACCATCCCCCAATGTCGCCCCTGCACCCCCACTGACTGCCTCCATCCAGCTCAAAGCCTTTCTGTGCCCCTCAGCAACCACACAGGGTCCCTCACAAAGAGCTGAGAACCCCAGATCCCCCCCACGATGCAGAGGGGTCTCAGAGCACTTCACAGGAGAAGAAAATGGGGAAAAAATTCAATAATATGAGAATTTGGAGCAGAAAATCCCTTTTCTGCTGTGGCGCCCTAAAAACAAGGAGATGAAAGGAGGTCACTGCTGCTTAAAATACTGGGGGGGGTCCTGGGGGAGCGGCACTGGAGCTGCCCCTCCTGGGAAAACTGGGTTTGGAGGAATGGGGGGATGGAGCCTGCACTGGGAGACTCCCACGTTTCGGCACTGGGGATAAAGGGGGGAAGAGGATGGGGAGGTCCCCACTCCCCAGATGGGGAAAAAGTCGGTGTTTAACACCAAAAATTCAAAAAATAAAGACAATAAAGAGGTGGCTGGCGGGGTTTGTGTATGAAATACATTATTGTGTGTGAAAGAAGAAAGCTTAATAAAATGTATATTTGCCAATACCCAGATTTCCTCAGCAATACCCAGATTTTCCCTTCAATACCTGGATTTCCCATGGGATACCCTAATTTCCCTGTTGCTACCTTAATTTTCTTGGCAGTACCCAAATTTCCCTGTCGATACCCGGATTTCCCTGTGGATACCTTCATTTCCCTGGCAATTCCCAGATTTCCCATGGGATACCCAGATTTCCTCAGCAATGCCCGAATTACCCCAGGGATACCTTCATTTCCTTGGCAATACCCAGATTTCCCTGTCGGTACCTGGAGTTCCCTGGCAACACCTGAGGTTTCCCCATTGATACCCAAATTTCCTCATGTGATATCCAAATTCCCCATCAACTCCCAAATCCCCATGACCGCACCTTCATCTTTTTGGCAATATCCAGATTTCCCTATAGATATTTGGATTTTCCATCAATTCCCGAATTCCCCATCAATCCCCAACCTCCCCTGGCAATACTTGGATTGATTTCCACGTGGATATTTGAATTTCCTGTTTATACCCGAATTTCCCATCAACTCCTGAATCTCCCTGGCTGTACCTTCATTTTCTTGGCAATACCCTCAGGGGTATCTGGATTTCCCTGTTGATACCCAAATTTCCCCATGGATACTTGAATTCTCCATCAATCCCTGAATCTCCCTGGCCATACCTTCATCTTCTTGGCAATACCTGGATCTCCCCATCAATTCCCAAATTTCTCGACAGGATGCCTGTATTTCTCCATCAATCCCCAATGCTCCTGGCCGTACCTTCATCTTGGCAATACCCAGATTTCCCCGTGGATATTTGGATTTCCCGTTGATACCCAAATTCCCCCATCAATTCCCAAATCCCCCTAGCCGTACCTTCATCTTCTTGGCAATACCTGGATTGATTTCCCCATGGATATTTGGATTTCCCATCAATAACCGAATTTCCCCATCGATGCCCAAATTTCCCCATCAATTTCTGAATTCCCCATCAATACCCAAATTCCTCGTCAAACCTGAATCCCCCTGTCTGTATCTTCATCTTCTTGGCAATACCCGAATTTCCCTGTGGATATCTGGATTTTCTGTCAATACCTGAATTTCCCCGTGGGTACCCAAATTTCACATCAATTCCTGAATTCCCTGTCAATCCCACATCCCCCTGGCTACCTTCATCTTCTTCGCAATACCTAAATTTCCCTGTGGATATTTAGATTTCTCTGTTGATACCCGAATTTCCCCGTGGACACCTGAATTCCCCCCTGTCAATCCTGAATCCCCCTGGCTACCTTCATCTTCTTGGCAATACCTGGATTGATTTCCCCGTGGATACTTGCATTTCCCATCAATTCCCAAATTCCCCATCAATTCTCAAACCCCTCTGACTGCACCTTCATCTTCTTGGCAATATCCAAACTTCCCTGTGGATATTTGGATCTCCCGTGGATATCCACATTTCCCCACCAACCCCCCCGGCCGTACCTTCATCTTCTTGGCGTGCAGCTTCTCCTCGCGCGGTTGCTGCCGCAGGGCCTGCCGATGGTTCACCTCCTGCTCCCGTGCGAACTCCCCCAGGGTGTAGCGGCGCACGCGGTCGTGGCGCGGGGCCATGCCCAGGGAGCTGCCGCCCTGGCTGGGGACGCTGGTGAAGCCCTGGCGCCGCGCAAAGTAGTAGACGGTGACCTGGTCGAAGCGGACATTCTTCCTGCGCAGCTGCTTCTGCCGCTTCAGGATGGAGGTGGCTGTGGGGGGAGGACGTGGGGAAGCGTTAGGAGCTGAAAATCCCCCCTCGGGGACCCACAAAGGCCGCCCACCCCACTGGGATGTGGCTTTGCTGCTCCCAGGGTGGCCCTGTGGCAGCGGTGCTGATGGCCCCAAAGCAGCCTCTGCCCTGTCCTCACCCAAATATCTCAAGGGGGACAGAGAAGGCCCAGGGAGGGCTCGGATTTAGGGGGCCAGGGTGGACCCAGACAAAGGATTTGGGGGCCAATGTTTGAGATTCACCAGGGATGGCACAGCCCGGTCTGGTCAGCACCTGAACTGGGGTGAACTGGGGATGAACTGGGGTGAATTGGGGAAGAGAGGAGTGAGACCCACATGGAGGGAAGGGCAGAGCAAGCCCCACACCCCAGTGCTCCACTCCCCAATGCCCCACATCTTGGGAAAGGGCAGCACCAGCCCCACATATTGAGAAGGGCAACGTCAGCCCCACATCCAAGGGAAGGGCAGGGTGAGCCCCACACTCCAGTGCCTCATTGCCAGCCCCACAGCCCCACTCACGGCT